AAATGCTACACTGATACCTTGTCTTTGATTGCAGACCATAAAGAAGCAGACACCAGAATTGCCCTTCGTGCTATCAATGTCACCTGCAATACAGTAGTAGTTACTACTATAGAGATGCAGATGTGCTCATCATTCTGGTGTCCCACTGTGAACGAATGCGATGCAATGATCTTTGGATGATGTCTGGAACGTCAAAGAAGAGAAAATATATTCCAGTCAAAGAGATTCTTCACGCCTTGCATGAGGGATCTGTTCAAGCACTCATCCCCTTTCACACTCTTATTGGATGTGATACAACTTCGTACTTGTCTGGGAGTACAAAGGCATCTGCATGGAAAGTTTTTAAAGAGTCGCATGAACTCTTGCAAAACATGGGAGAAGGAGGTATTAACGAACAAGTTATGCGGAAAGCAGAAAATTTTTTTGCCACAGCTCTGGTGCAGGCCACAAATGAAGCCAGACACGTTCTATTTTTCAAAAAAACAAAACCCGAGGCATTGCCTCCAACAATTGATGTGGCATATCTTCACATAAGAAGAGCACACTTCTAAGCAATGATATGGAAACAAGCTGGATCACCGCATCAAGACTTACCGTCACCTACAGATTTCGGATGGGAGCTTTCTGAAGATCGATTAAAGCCGATTCTAATGACAGTGAAGCCATCCCTGCTGCTTCTCTGGAGATGATCTTTTGTGGATGTAACATACGATGCAGAAACTCATATAGCTTAGTTTGCTTTAAGATTTAGATCAGACACTCCTTCAAATCTTAATGTAGGGTCAAGCTTCACACTGCAGGCCTTGCGCATATCAACATGAGAAGAATCCTCAAAAATTAGCAATGAAGTTTCAAGTGAAACTACAACTGTTTTTTTCTTAACAACTCTCAAGAATTATTTGTCAGAAGATAGTGTTAATTTGCGCAAGGCCTGTAATGTAGCAAGTTGTGTGGCAAATGCAGCAAAGCTGAAAACAACGATTTCCACTGACCTATAATCGATTAGATTCAAGCTTGGACACACGTTAGAGACCTTCACAAAAATGCAGCATAGTAGAACTGGATGTACAAAAGGAACGTGTTCAGCCACTTGAATATTCAATGTTGACATTTCACCCGATTACTACTTGGGAGAAAATTTCATTTGAGAAAATGTCATACATAAACTTGTCGTTAGTTCGAAAAATGAAGAGCCGAAAGTTTGCCATTTCTCCTAAAATTAGATGGGCTAAATAAAACTGGAAGATTTTATTTTAAATGGTAGACACTAACCAGCTAGAAAACCAAATCAATGAGTTTAATTTTTGCCGGAGGATCATAGATCATCGAGAATGCCATCATTCGACTGATTTCGATGAGACCTTTGAAATGTTGCATGACCTTTTCAATTTTTGATGGCGTGAACAATTTTTAAGTTAATGACGTCATCATATTTATGACGTCATGTAAATCACAGAAAATGTAATAGATCAACTTTACTAGCCCAAATTGGTTCTCTTTATCTTTAAAAGTAAATTCAAGACACTTTAGAGTATTTGCACCAGTAATTAGGGGTTTAAATGAAACAATGACAAATTGGTGTAAATAAATCATGAATAAGCGATATAGATAATAAGCTTAGATAGGAATCATATATCTGATTTTTACTTTTTGGTGCATTTTGATACATTCTAGAGACTATAAAAGGACTTAATAATTAAAACTGAGATATTACCAATAGTTGGCAAATTCTGCCATTTTCTTCAATTATGGCATCATAATGACGTCATGGATGTAATGAGTTCCCTGTTAAAATTTAAAAAGTTCCCTGTTGTGTAGATTATGTTGCTGTACATCATTTTAACAAATTCTATCTGTACACCATTTTAGCAATATTAGTGAATATCCTATTCGAATGCAGTGTCATGGATTTTCTGGGCAGCATTTTGAAGATTTCGACTGGCAGCCATTTTGATATGCAAATAAAGCCCTTAAATGAGTTAATTTTGCCTATAAGTGAGCAATTCATCTCCCTTCTTATATTCAAACTGCTTGAGCAAAATCTACTCCTTTTGGATTGGGGCTGGTATTTTCAACTAGGGATTCTGTTGCAATACAAGTCCGAATTCATCCCTGCAAAATAAATTCTTTTTGATTATCGATTCATTCTCAAAACTTTGATGGTGTGCATGCTAAAGCTTGATTGAATATAAAGAGCTATGATTTAGCTACTGGTTGGCAAAAATTATTGAGTATTGATTTCCCTTCTCCCTTCACCAGGCAAAAGTACCCTCCTTTTTCCCCTTGGTACTTCCTTCTAGCAACTACGTTTGCCAGTATTCTCAGTACACTACAATTCATATTAAAATTCATATTTGATAACCTCATTCGCACAACGATGACGTATTAAATATCAACACTGCTTGTGGAAAGGGGAACAGAAATCTGTCTTTTCCCGTTGTTTAATCTTGGCGGGAATTAAAAGCTATAGCCCACAAGAAATGACACGAGCAAGGACAGGTACCAGCCCTCTCTAACAAGGAACTGAAATAAAATCAGGACTATTTCACAATCAATTCTCAAAGAATCTTTTCATACGTGCTGGTCAATTTAGTTAGTGAACTCTCTAGCATAAAAAATGTCGATGTGATCACAAAGCAAGAGTACAAAAGATAATCCAAATGTAACAATACAGAAGCATCATTATTAATTGTCAGCTCAATATATCGAAGCTCTATGCTCCGAACTAAGGGACTTTTTTTCCGTGAATAATTTTGTAACGGAACAATCTATTGTGTTACATGTAAAGAAAGGCTTAATTATCTAAGACAAGACCTCCGTTTTCTCACTAAAATACACTTTTCTTTTATAGGGGGCTTCAACAGAATTCTTGTTTTTACCAAGGCTAATGTACCTAGAATTCTTCGGTGGCTTCGACAGAATTCTTGTCTTTACCAAGGCGAATCGATGTACCCTGCTGTAGGGTCACTGACAAACCCGCGTAGCGGGCTTCGTAGGGGAGCTATTTTCTCACTAAAATACACTTTTCTTTTATAAGCATATTATTAATTGTGTCCAGCCTCGACATTCTTAAGAAGTTTCTGTTTTAGGCCCTTGGAAATTTAACGATCTGATACCATTACTGGTAGTTCTTGCTTTTGCAATGTCAAGGGGGTTTTTGAGTCGAAGGTTATGACCTGTTGTTTTGGGTACAAAATAGTCTTTCATGAAAACAGGATTAAGGTTGTTAAGTGTTTTATAAACTTCAAGCGCTAAAATTCTAACTGATCAGATATGTATGGTAGTTTCTTTTGAGTTAGCAAGTAATTCTTTGTACGAAGATGAATGGTCCGAATAGGCTAGTCTTAATGCCCTCTCGTTAATTTTCTCTAGCTTATCCTGACTTTCTTTACCATATAGCATCCATATTAATGGACAATAGCTGAAGTGACATGGTATAAATGAATTCATAATTATCATTTCTTCTGTGTCGCCCATAAATCTTGCTAATCTTTTGTAAAGAAATGAACTGTTTAGCTGCTTCTTTACAGAACTTATCGATATGAGCATCAAACTTAAAATTTTCATCGATCTGAACACCAAGCAAAGTAATGTTTTTTCTCTATTTTAATTGCAAATTCTTGAAAGCTTTTCAGGTAGCATCCAAGATTCACAAGAGCTAATCTGTTATGGGCGCAACCAAGAAAACGGGTGCAAAGGATTTTGCAATGATGTAATTGGGATTATAATTATACTGTAGACAAACACGACATAAATTTTGTTGAAATTGGTAGTATCCAATGTGCTTCCAGTCTATAGCTGGTACAATTTGTTTTCACCGACCAATATGCATTTTTAGACACGCATTCATGTATAAACAGGAATATATCAATCATAATCATGTAATTTGGCAGCAAACTTTAAAATGACTTTCTTTTTCAACTTTGGCCTACTGAAAATACAAATCAGTGTATATCTTTCAATTGGCACTTCATGTCTTTCATTTCATCTTTCAAACATATACAACAAAACCATAATGATCAATCAAGTAATTTTTCACTGTAGGATTGAATGGCAACGACTTTAGTGCAGACAAATTCAACTTTTCAACGATGATATCAAAAAATAGGCCATTTACTCAAATCTGGATTTATGCCCATTGTATATTTATATATGACGAAACTGTTTTTCCCTATACTAAAAGCATTCCTGCCCATTAATGCATAACCATGCGACTTTTGAGCTGGTCCGTGACCAAATTCTAATTTTGTCACATGAAGTATTTAAATTTTTCACAAAACTTGTGTTTCTAACCTCCGCTCTCCACCATTTAAGTTATTGGAGTTGCAGAGACTCGCCTTTAACTAGGCCTGTCTTTAAAAAATACATTCCGTCATAGAATATTGCAGAAATGCTTAGAATAAGAAAAGAAGCCAAAAATAAATCGTTTCCTTATGATCCATATATACAATTCAAGCTTTCACGTAAAATTTTATATATTGATATTGTAGATTTACTATCCGGGTTACATAAAGCTAACTTTTTACATTACATTCAAATTGATTGTTATTTATACTATATTGCGTGTGGGTCTATAACATTAGAAATCGCAAATTATTCCATCCTTTATACTGTATGGTCGTCGACTGAAAGGTAGAACAAAAATTTTAGAAAAGGAAACAAAGAAAACAATAATTAATTATGCTAAAATAAGTTTAATTTGATATGCAAAGCAAAACTTTGCAGCAAAAAGTCTCCAAAAGGGACATATCTATTAAAGCAGTTGATTATCAAGAGATGTTAGAAATCTCCAAGTAGAGACAGCAGCGATAATACTTGCATAAATTATTGAACTCTTTCTTTATTATGCTGAAGCACTTTATACCTATTGCAAATAAGCTATGGTAAAAAATGAGTCACTCTGTGCAAAAAGTACCCATTATACTGTCGTTAACCCAGGGTACATTCATCTTTAAAATTATAAACACGCTATTTTGAGGGCATCAATAAGTTCCAGGAACTACGCCACATATTTGAAAGTGGAGGGCGAAGGCTTACGAAAGTGGAGGGCCAAGGCTTTTTTCACTTCCCCGGTGGCTTAGGCCCTGACAATTTGTAAGTTGATCAAAAGCGTTTTTCAGTCTTCAATTTGAATTATGTTTGTGCTTTTCTTTTAACCTCTTTAGTCGTTTTTATGCAGTTGCCTCTCTTTTTCACACGGTCCTTTGGGGAAATCGCCCTCTTTAGATTCCTCGATGAGTTCTTCTGGCTTTCTACTATCAAGCACTACTTGTGCCTCTTGCATCTGTTGTGCATTTGGCTCTGCGCACATGAATAGCTTGTTCAATCGCCTTATGTCACTGTCAGTTAAACTTCCTTTGGAGCCAATATCTCTTGCCTCTGCAGAACAATAAAATTTTGTTACACAAATTGTGAAGACTTAAAAATTACTACTCGTTTTTCTACAAGTCTCGTAACTTTTCTGCATCCCCCCCTCGCACTCCACACCCCGCACTCACGTTATTTGATGGCTGAAACCCTCAAAACGTTAACCTGATCAGCTAATATTTAGACAATAAAAGCCTTGTCAGGGGCTCTAATGCAAGTTGTTAAAGTAGGGAGGAGGAGGGCAAACGCAGTCGGAAGGCTCAAAACAAAGGCAAATGAAAGTGAAATATTTTTTAGAAATGTATTCATTTTTGTGAAAAAAGGCAGCCCTGAAAACAAATTTGCTGATCTAAAAGCAAAATAGCATTGCTGCCAGCTCCATCCAAAAAGGATGATATATTTTTGCATCTCGGATGTGTTTTCGAAACCTATTTATATTTAGTGTGGGCAATCAAATTTCTAAAAGACACAACAGAGAAAACTTCTTGAATGCCTTGTATAAGCCGATCAACAATACAAGGTATAACTGCATTTTGAAAGGGAAGAAAGCTAAAAAAAAGGTCCATGAAACATAGACGCAGACTTGGGTTTGGCTCCGGGGCTGGGGCTCCCCCCCTGGGAAATAGAGAAGTTGGCCATCAATTTGATAGACTAAATTTTCATATTTTCGTTTTACGGATAAAATCGCCTTAGAACCCTCAGCTAGGCCTTTTTCTACCTTCTGTCGTCGGCAGCCCCCATTAGCGACAGCATGTAATTTTTGGGGCCCCTCTCCATCCTGAAAAAAATATAAGTCTATGCATTGAAAAATGATGATTGCTTCTCAAAATAATTTTTAAGATTTATATAGATTCAGCAACGGCCATAAAAACTATGAGCCTAGGATATTTTTACCTCCACCATAAGCCTCCTTTGCAACAATTGTGATGAGCTTCACAAATTTGTCCTTTCCATCTTCTCCCACTTGTTTTACTGTTTTACCCATAAAATTTGCTCCATAGTGCATAATACTGTTGAAATCATAATCTTCACCAAATGTATTTGCGTCATCTTCTTTAGCGAAATTGGGTTCTTTACCTTTGGTATAAAGAGAGTGGAAGATCGAATATGCTCATTTTTTACAACAAACTAAACTTGAGATTGGCACCCAGTTTTTTGGGCTTTTTAATGTCCGGTCATGCAGCGCTAAAAGTTTCAAGAAAGATTTTTTGGAAATAGCACAAAAAAACACACCTAAGTCACAGCTAAGTCACAAGGAGCTCTTGTTTCTATTATACATGTCAATAAATGTCTATTATCAGGGCCCACGCCACCCTGGGAGGGAGGGTCGGAGGGACCATGACCCCCCTACGTTTTTGGTAAGCAAAAGTATTTCCATAGAGGTCCTGTTTTGAAGCCCTAAATTCAAGTTCAATGTAAACTTGGCCCCTCCACTTAAAACTCGTGGCGTGGGCCATGATTATACATGTCAATCAATTAAGCAGCAAAAAGGTGCCTAAGTATCGAAAAGCTTGGTTTCCAAGATTGGTATCCAGAAGGAACGGGGGCGCGTCCTCGTCATGGGATAACTCAAATGTATTCTTAAGAGAACAAATTTGTTGGTAAAGCACCTGGTTGTATATTGCCTCGATTGATGTCGATGTACTCATCTCTGTCTGGTCTTTCCTGTTCGTGAATGAAACCAAATGCGTGCATTATTTCATGAATTATGCCTCCAACAGTCATATACCCTGGCAACTTGACTAGCTGAAAATATCGAGATGATCCAAAAGTCCCTTGAGTCTTGCCAATGTTTGATTGTGCAGAACCTCTAGAAAAATTGAAAGTAGGACATAATTACTGCCGTCACTCTTTGCTCCTATTAAAACAACCGGGATTAAAGGGAAACGTAACTTCAATTTATGGGTATACAGAATGTGCCATTTTTGGGTACTCTTTTTGAGTTGGAATGTAAGTTTGACATAGTATTATTTTACACTATCATCAAATTTGTATGTACAAGTACAAGTCACGGTCTTCATTTTGATCTAAGAAACAAGGATAAAATTGTATAGAGGATTGTAAGAATTCTTCTCAATTGTAAACCTGCTATACAGCGTTAATTCTGGTATTAATTCAATCTTGGGATGCGCCTTTTTGAACTAAAGAATTTGTTGATGTTTTCGAGGAGGTTTTTCAACTTTGGTAAAGGCAAATTTGATTCAACATGTTTAAATGGCACACCCCTTTCATCTGAATCATCCTCTATGGGCCAAAGCATCAAACATTTTAAAAGTTACCCCCCCCCCCCACTTTACCTGGGCCAAAGTTATTGCCATAAAAGGTACATGTATGGCCACAAAATGTAGAGTGGAGGTACATCGCATAAAAATTTTGAACCTTAAAGTTCAACTCCTAGCATCCTTACAGACATTGCTATCAGAGAGATATAAAAATTGCAACTAGATTTAGCAGAAGTCAAATATCAAATTGGCATAGCAGATGGTAAACAAAGTTATTTACTTACGCTCTAACAAAGTTTATATGATATCTATTTTGATCGTTTTTCGGTACTTCTGTAAATTTTATACATGTGTATTGTTCAATAACTTCAATTGCCTTCTCTATGTTTTCTTTCAAAGGATCTGCAATTGTAGATTAAGGTTATCTATTAAGCAAGCCGTAGCAGTGTGCAGTGGTTTTCTTAGTCTCAACTAGAAGATATGACATGTCTGGTAAAGTTTTTGAAGTAGAGGGCTGAACTGAAGATATTTTCCCGCACTCTCTATTAATATAAAAATTTATTTACTGGATAGCCTTGGATAATTAACCAGATGGTCACGCTTATATGTACTTCCCAGGGGAGCCATTCAAACTTTTGATATACGGAGAGGCCTATCTGCAATTATCAAAATTCACCTAAATGTATCGAAAACAAATCTTACATACCAAAAATTATCAGCTGAAAAGTTTTGATAAGACCTAAAATTATCAAAATACAAAATCTTGTTGTTGAGCACAAAAGACACCACAGTCATAGTTATACAGACTGTTCCCTGTAATAACCAGTTTTAAAATATTTGTTCTTTTTTCCTGTTTTTGATATTGTTGTGTGTTATTTGGACCAATAATAATCAAAAAGGTACCCAAAATATTCAGATACCCAAAAGTATCAGATCACAAACAAATTCTTACCCATAATTAACAGATTGACCCCCTACAGCCCCCCCCCCCCGTATGCAAAAATTTCAAGTGGGATACACTTATCAAAAAGTCCTCGATTCATTTCATTAAAATAAATACGCTTTTCTAACCTATCATATTATCAGTGTCAAGACTATAATAGATTGGCTGGTCAGTAGGCCAGTATACTGTGTTGCCCCTGCTCACTGTTCTCCTTGATCCATCTTTGCCTTTCTTTGACTTTGCCTGTTTCTGTTCTGGGGTGAGGACAACATCGTCTCCCATCACTTCGTCTATAATGCAGAGGGAAACAGCGATGCAAGTTGAAGTTCATTTTTCTTAATTCTAAGAAGTTTCAACTTTTAAGATACAAAAGCGCTGTGTGAATTAAAATATTTAAGCAAACATGGAAGACGTTCCCACTTTAATTTTGGTAAACAAAATTATTCTGATAGCGTAAATTTTTCTACTGATGTAATTGTGGTATTTAGTACATATGTCCAACCAACAACGGCTGACGCACTACAATTTAACCTCCTATTATGGAGTCCCACAAGTATATGTTATTGGTCCACTCCAATTGTTTGTACAAATTCCAGCAGATAGTAGAATCAATCAAGAAGGTTGGTTACTGAATGAATAGAAAATACTTAGATACAAATGCAGATGTTAACTATTATTGCATTAAATAGTTTGATACTTCTGTTCGAACTGTAGAATCAAACAATTGAAGAAACTAAATGAAAGGATTGGTTACTGTAAAAAGTATATGTCTTCTATTCACAGCAATAAATTCTCTCGTTTGGAGCAAATAAGTAATTACTGTAACTTTACAAGTTTAAATATTTATTTCTAAATGCCCACAGACTGAAAATATTTGTTGGCATTGTACCAGGAGGCAGTGGTGGCGCCAGGGGAGGGCTACAGCCCCTCCGTCGGAAGCATATAGCCCCCCCCCCCCCATCGGAGGAAATTTTAGGTTTTTGTCGGAGCAAATTTGACAAAATAACGTATGAAAACTGCTTATTTTAGTCATTTTAGCCCCTGCCCCTCTGTCGGAAGATTTCTGGCGCCACCCCTGCCAGGAGGCAGAAGGTTTAAATTGGCAGTGAATTAGAAATAGCAAAATAAATGTCCTCAAACCTTCTCTTTGCGACTTTTTAACTTTACTCAATGACTTCCAATCATTCTTTGCACCTTTAACTAAAATTTAATTATAAAGCAAAATACAGATTCGTTAGTTTTCTATAAAGATTCGTTAATAATAGAAAATCATGCTGGTGGTTAGGGCTCTAAATGTACTTTAATTTGCTTTTATTGGCCATTCATAAAAAAGATGTTTGTTGTTTACGATTTAGCATTTTCGATTTCACAAAAGAAAACACTCACCCATATCCAAGCCACAAACTTCGACAACATTTTTCTGACTTTTCGCCCAGATATTTCCAATTGTCACAAAAGCTAGCACAATTTGTAAAATGGCCTTCATTTTTTCCTGTTCCAAAGATGTCCGAGACCTTACTTTAGGATTACTTCTCAATTAACAAGCAATCACAACTAGCAAATAAGAATCATGCAAGTACCTGAAAGACTTCATAAAGAAACAGAGCACCAGAAGTAATATTCGCTTCACTGCCAATTAGTTTACCTGCTCCAATGAAGCTGACATGTTTCTTTGTTTCATCTAAATGTTCGAAGGTACTGTTGTTGTTCGAGGGCAATGCTTAATTTACAATGGACTTTGGTTGAAGCGCTAATTAGAAGGCAGCTCTCCTTTTGACCCTATACTGATAAATACAAAACATTTCTTCCTTTCCGAGCAATTAATCAAAGCTTTAGGCAAATAATCTTACCAGAGAACTTCAAAATCTCCGTTCAGTTATGATAAATTTTGGCCAAAAGTTGCCTCATGGTTAGTTGTTCTAATATTTAATTTTTCATATGCTGTAACGGGTTGATGAATAGAAGAAGATAGGCAAATCCGTAAGATAAGCTTTTGTCAAGGCATCACAGGAGAAGGAGACTGGTAGGGAAAATGATTCAGATTCACCCCCATTGAGATTCCAGGGAGAAATTCTTAAAAAATTCAATTTCATTTTCCGCGGGCGAGAAAAAAGCTCCTCTTATTTAGCTTATGTGGATGTTATTGATAAATGCATTCAGTTTTATATTGGATAAGGGTAAAAGAAAGTGCTTCTATTTATGCTTGACATTTTAATCATATTATATTCAAAGAACAATTAATATTAGTTGAGGTATGTTATAGATGGGCTCAGCATCAAAATGTAACAATAAGAATGCATTTTGAGGTAAGAATCGAGAAACTGAAATTGTCTCAAATACTACAAAATATTCAGCTAGATTTTGAAGACATCACTTTGATGCATGGCTTGAAATTATATCATTTCAAAATTAATTTGAATCAAAGCCTTGAACATGTGTTTTCAAGGAACAGTCTAAGCTAATTATGTTGCGGAACTTGTTAATCCTGGACAAGGCCTAGTTTTCTAACTGTATTTCTGAGACTTAAGCATGGTGACTCTGGTACCCAGAGCAGTAGTCACAGAATTCATTCTTTGCCACCGCAGCTGTCCAGTGTCCACAATACTTTATCCCAGGCTATGAGATTCTGGTTCCTAGGGTAGTAGAGAACAGATTCAGTTGTTTGCATGGAATGCTGCTTCATCGCTTTTTTCTAAAAGAAAACATTTGTTATACTGCTTTTTTGAAGGTTTCTCGCTCTTCTATGGGGATTTGTTTAACACACTGCTGATTGATGTATGTTTAGTATTGCAACGATCCAAAGCTATTGTTGTGCAAAACATTTGTGCTTTTAAGGGGCGAATGGGAATAGATTGAGAGCAAAACAATCACCAATCAAAACTTCATACAATGTAATTAAAGCATTTGTTTGAAAAATTACAGTTGCGGTCATCTCTTAAACAATTTCAAATTCCAGTGATTTGACGGGTCGCCCCGAACAGTGCAATTGACAGTGTATTATTGAGGAATTACGTGCCAGGCCTGGAGAACTCTTTCAATTAAAATTATCTGTTTTACTTATTTGATATTTTATTTGTAAACCTTGCTCTTGTGCAAATTTGCTGCAGCGATTCCCGGACAATAAATTATAATTGCCTGGTACTGTGACATTTGTACACCCGTGTTTTTTGCAAGAAATCGACTACAGTTCCTAATAACCGCAAATCAGAGTGCAAATTTCAATTTTTTTTGGTAGAACTGCAAATGAAAGTGCAAAATTTGTGAGATTTGGACCTCAAATTCAGGATGGCTGAAGGTTTTTTCGTACGACAACTCAAGGTGAACTTTTGAAGCAAGTACAGTGTCTCTGCAATTAATTTTCTTTTCATGGATGACTTTATCATCTATGATCAGACAGACTTCAGGTGGCAAGTTTTCTTCGCAGCGGATTAGCATTGCTAAGCGATAATTGTTGGCAACAAACCGTTGTGTTAGGGACGAGAACGCAAACGAGTGCAAGCAATGATCAAGAGGTTCGATTTGCCAGTTTCCAAGCAACAAGCAATGAAGGATGGTTTTAAAGAGAGATTGCAAACCAGAAAGGAGGCTAATTTACTTTGTTGCTTAGCAATGTGGCCTGGATCCCAACAAACCTGCCCCGGACTCCTTAGCGACCATTACAGAAACGAAGCAGTTCGGGTGCGTCGGAAGACCACGTTGTCGTAAAGAGAGTTTAGATATCATTAGATTGCAAGAAATACTAGCTAAAATGTTTAAAAATACGTTCCAGTCAGGTTTTCTGTCGATATTATACAGTATCGGAAGTAAGCCTCTACAAATATGGGAGAAAAAGGTAAGTTGCATTAGCTCCGTGGTTACTACTCAAAATACTTGATCACCTGCCATTGCTCAAATTTTAAAGCGTTCCAGTCTACATTGAGTAGTTTTATAGAGAGTATTGTAACTCATTAAATAGATTTGAAGCAAGATTTGGTGGAAATTTTCTCTAGTTGTATTTTTCGATAAGAGAGGTTGGCCTTTTTCGTTCATACTTGGCCAGGCGATTTTACTTTCATTCCCCGCTTTCTATTCCAGCTAGCGTGTTACGATGTTTTTTCCGACGTCAGATACAAGGTTTTGCAAATATTTGAAAATCTTAGGAAATTGTCCCTAGAGATTTTGTTGCCTACTTCTCAAGGCTCGAAAACACTGCTCTTAACCATGACAATCCTGGCTAAACAGATATTTTATAAACAAATTGTAGCACAAGAAGCTTGCTTGAATATTAATGCACTGCCATCAGCTGAATATGTTATTTGTCACAGAGCACTAAATTGATTTTTAAATTACAAGGTATTCAATAATGCTTATAAACAAAATATTATATTTTTTTGTTCACTTGCAGTATTTCTACCTCAAAACAAATGACCCTTTACTTTCCATTTTCAAAGTTGAAGGGGCTATTCTTTAGTAAAAGGGGCACTATCCAAAAAGTTTTAAAGAGCAATCATTTTTAAAAAAGTCAGGGATACATGTCATTGGTACTCCTGATTCCAACTTCCTAGTTACAAAACATTATTTTGCAAAATCTTCCTTACCCATAAGACACAAGTTTACTGTAGATTAATTTATATTTCCTTTACTTTAGGTCAGAAATGGTCATATAAAAAGAATCACCGACAATGATATCCAGTCTTTGGTTTTAGAAATTGTTGGAACAAATGTCAGGTATGTAATTAGAATTTTTAAGATATTAAAGAATTTTGGATTTTATCTTCAATTTGACTCATTGTACTACCTGTCTTCCTGCTACAGATCTTGCTTTGTGAAGGGGAACATGTTTAAAACTATTCAACAATCTAGACTTTCTCTAATTAATGATACAAAATTGCTGACTGTCATTCTAATCAACATTCATACAAATTAATATAACAATAGCAGTTTGTCCATGAACAGAAATTTTCTTGGTGGAAATAAAAGGTTTTGTATACAAAAAATAAACAATATTAGTTTATATAAATACATTTATCCATTTTCTCATTGCAGCACGGTCTACATCACTTGCCCAGCAGACCCAAAGAAAACACTTGGAATAAAGCTACCATTCCTTGTCATGATCATTAAAAACTTGAAAAAGTACTTTACTTTTGAAGTCACTGTAAGTTTCTTGTCCATCGATTTTGAGTATTTTACTTATATAGCAGATCATTATCGTTATAAAATTTGCTATCCAAAATTATGATAGACCTTAAATGTAGCTTTTATTCTTGCTTTGCATTGTCTAAACTAAGATTTCATATTTTCATTGGAAAGCATATATTGAGAGACTATAAGTTGTTATACTTTTGCATTTGGCCTTATTGTGTATATTCATTTGTAATCTATTCTATAAATTAGAAACAACAGTTACTTTTTTATTGTGTGGTTATATGCAATTGGCTTTTTATTAGATAAAATCATGCAAACTGGAAAGAAATTTCTTTAGTAGAAAAACAGGTATATATATCTTTAAGAAAATTTAAAGATCCATTCTCAATTTTGAATGATGCACCTGCTTGTTAAGGTACTGGATGACAAGAATGTCAAAAGACGATTCAGAGCTTCTAATTACCAGTCATCCACACGAGTCAAACCTTTCATCTGCACAATGCCAATGCGATTAGATGATGGATGGAATCAGATTCAAGTAGGTTAATTTACTGTCTTTATCTGTTGTTTATTGGTATCAAAAACCTTTTACCTTATTGTTCATAAATAATTTGTTAGAAAACAATCAAAATATTGCTGCATATCCATGACATAATTTAGAAACCCTTTTTTGGTGTATATGTATTAATTATTAATTTTTCTCTGACTGGTGTCCTAAATGAGTGCAATTCTTTTTTGCAGTTTAATCTGTCAGATTTCACAAGACGTGCATATGGAACAAATTATATTGAGACACTTCGAGTTCAGGTGAGTTTTAATGTGATTTGTGACCTTTCAAACTTAAGCATTTCTGCTTTTGAGGGTGAATGAATTGGTGTTTGTAGTTTGGAGATTGTAAGTCAATATGGATAAATCTATATTATATCAAATTTTCTTCTTTAGATCCATGCAAACTGCCGAATTCGACGTGTCTACTTCTCAGATCGACTCTACTCAGAGGATGAACTTCCTGCTGAATTCAAACTTTACTTACCAATTCAAAACAAAGGAAAAGGTGTTGAAGGTGATTCTTTGTCTTCTTATTTCAATTATGCTAGGAAGATAGTCTGTGAACATGACTTCTACAATATACAATTTTTTATTGATCATGTTATTTTAACTCTAATAGTTTTTAATAAACCTACATTGTTTTAAACATTTATATTATTTTTTATTGCAGCTACCAAATAGTGCTTTTGATGACAAAGAATGCGATCTTGATAGGAAGTTGATGTGGTAAACTGTCAATTAATTGTAAATAGGCTGGATCTTTTATGATACTTTTGTCAATTAAATTACATGTTGTTGTTGAATTGTAACTGTTGTAGTGCCTTCATAAAATCTAAATGACATATGTTTAGTAAAAGTTACCACTCTTTAATGTTTATGAATATCTTGTACATATCATAATGTGTCCTTTTTGTTTTAAAAATCTTAGAGAGCATATCTACTGTGTCTTTCTGTTGAATGTTTTATTCCTTTTTAAGGGTTTTGACAGACTCACCATCATCAACATGAAACATATATTGATCATGTCCAATGTTAAAAAATAGAAAAAACGAAGCCCCACACTAAATGAGTTGAAAAAATGGTTTGGTTACATGGTTTATGATATGTAATTGAAACGCATTTGAAAGAGAAAACAGAATGTAAAAGTCAGAGATTCTGTGACATAAAGTTTAAATTATAATTGCATTACACCCACAAGAATAATATTACAAAAAAGGAACTACCTAATTTAACAAAGGTACAAGAAAAACAGCCCAGCCTTTCTTATAAAGTTAGATGCAGAAAATTTCATTCATTAAATGAACTTGATTGATTTAGATTATTTGCGGGGGCTGGCCTTCAGCATTAGACGCCTCGTTTTCATAATCACATGTTTGCAGTCCAGAAAAAATGGCGGAAGAAAATGATCCGTCCAGTACGCTATCCGAGCATAGTTTTCATGAAGTTATAGGTGAAACCGCCATTTATTTCAAGATTTTGAAAATGAGAGAATCGATCTTCCTTTGGATAGGCGACTGTCCAAATTTTGACCACCTTGCAGTCTCAACCCCAACAAAAATGGTGAGTATTGAAATTTTGCTCAAACCAAACCCAAGATCTTGTTGAAAAGTACCATACTCTTCAGCCCCCAGCACTTGATGAGCAAAAGTATTGCACCACCCATCAAGTACTTTTTATAGCAAACCGAAATTCAAATAGCTATAGCAAGGTAAATATACATAAAATTTCCGTTAGTTGGCATGCTAACATACATAGTTAACATGAAAAAGAATAAAGACTCATACACTACAGTTTTTTCTACCAATTAGTCTTCTCTGGCTGGAGTACAATATTTACAGTTTTACTAACTGCTCATATATTTGATGTGCCTAAACAAATTCCCTGGTGGACCTCCTGGGTACAGTTGACATGAAATGCACCCTGAATTGATTGAGAGAATTTAACTTACCTGAACCAAAATGTGCATCTTCTTTGACTCCAGTATTTTAATTAGGCCATGTTTACACATCAAAAATGCAGAAATTGCAAAAATATCTACTGAATTTATGAAAATAATGGAAATATACCTAAATAAGTTAGTAAATAGATCAAACAAAATCATGCAGTATATACAAAATTTGTTCTCTTTTTATTTCATACTCTGTTTACAATAAAAAAAGATGGTCAAAATATTTTTATCTCTGAAAAAGTGAGAGCTCGTCAGCCTCCAGCCCTCCCTCCCCCTTCCCAGTGGCACAGTGCCTGCTTAACCAATTGTTTTCATTGATAAAATCTAGACCAGTCATCCTTGTGGTGAACCTGATTTGCTTTAACTTTCTGAATCTTGCTCATCAATATATTGTGTCAACACAGAAAGGCGGTTTTATTAACCACAAGAAAACAATTTTTAAGGAAGAAAAATGAGGCAATGGAAGCCAGAGTTTTGTGTAACCTAGAAACAGAAAGAAGAATTTAAGGATACTTACAAACTGGTTCTTAAGCACTTGAAAAACTTATCAAAACTATATTTCTTTTTTAAAAAAATCAGGAACAGCCAACAACTGAAGATTAGATTGCAGCAAGCTATTTTCCCATGGTTTTCTTTAAAAACAACAAGGCCCAGTCTAATGTTTTTTACATATTTTTAAAAGAGGTATTCCAATTATAAAGATACTTGCAGGTGCACCAAGAAGGCAACACCTCTCTAGTAATGAAAATGAGAAATGCAAAATCACTCTTTGTTTCTTCTCTATACAATATTGACCACTGTAAATATACAAAAGCTGAGCTATGGTGCTAAGAGTATTTGTTATATATTTGAGTATCCTGTAAAATTTCAGTAAGGCAAACTCGTAGCAACTTACTTTCTGCTTGGGTGCCAGTATAAACATGCCAGTAGAGTAGCCAATTGCTCAAAACAGCATTTCATCATCTCATCCATACTTTGACAAGTGCCGGAGGAGAAGTGATTTAGTATTACATGTTTCCTCTTTTCCATGCTACTTTGAAATTTTTTGGTACAAACTTTTGCAAATCATTTTGTCAATCTAACTCTATGACACGCAATTTGCAACATTGCTTTATCTAATGATACCAGACTTACAACCCTATTGATCAATTCCGAACCAAAGTGGCATTATGGTTGTCTTTAAATTTTCATGGTGGCATTAAAATAAAAATTTTCAAATTTTGATGCTTCCAGTTTGGTCAATAATGCACTCTTTGAAGCAATTTTTACCAATGGTAAATTAATATTCACTGGATGAAGGTGATTTTCTGGGGCCATACATAACTATATATTTTAGCTCATGCAACATAGATAGGTGATTTCGCTTCAGCTTGGAACAAAATCTCTCACTTCTAGTAGGCCTTGCCTAAAGTGCACATTGAAAAGCCATTGATGTTTCCAGCCAAAGATTCCAACCCTTGATGTGAATTTCATTCAATAGCTGAAAATTGTTCATGTTATTGACAATGGTAATGCATAAAATATGAAAAAAGGTATGGGAATAGTAATATAAGACTGATGCCATCAAAACCTGATACTTACTTCTGGCTAACTGTTTAAAGTAACCTTTTTTCACTACAAAGGCACTTGCTTTTTATTTTAGTCTCATATTCCATCAAGTTCTACTATTCTTGGAGAAGATAATGGCAACATCTATGGTCCAATAGCACAACGACTTGGTGAGGCAGTTATTAAGCATCCTGTTATTTGCTTCTAATTTTTTTCAAAGATAAATTGTTTGTTCTTTGTCATTTGTTCAATGGTGACTATCAAATAGTTTTAGAATGATTACATCTCAGTTAATAAAACTGATGCTGAAGCAAATATGCAATAGGGCTGTTTTGTAGTTTTTTAGAATAGATTAGTCTATATGTTTCTTAATTATTGAGTCTGAGTTTAGCAGGCTCTGAAGTTTTTATTTTATACCAGCCACAGGTGTAGATCTAGAGAAACTCAAGGGGGGGGGGGGGTTAACATCCCTTAATAATTCCAAAATTTAGTTCTTTAGTGTACATTTGGAACATCAATCCACTATCTAAACCATCCATTGACTTGAGTGTTGTTTCCAACCCAGAGGGTCCTGTTTAACATATGGAGAACACAGAGTCAGAGAGGAGACGGTGTGCCTGTTGCATGTCTTATACCTAACTGAACTAAGCTTGTATAAAAATTAACATATACTTATATAACAAATTCAAAATGCTGATTAAGGATGAGTTAGGATGAGGTAATGATGATGCAATGTGATAAAGAAAGATCTAGGCATAGGACGTGAGAATCTGAGCCAGCGTGACTTGGAGTTGAAAACAATGGTAGAGGGAATGTCTTATGCAATATGCTATGCAATGCTGTGAATGATTAAGGAGGTATCATGGTGATTGCATGATCAAAGAGTAGAAATTAAGTGGAAAATGGCCTAAGCCTAGTGACTACTGCCCTCTTCTACTTGTTACTGTTTTTTTTTGAGAAATTTTTTGACAGGGTCCCCTTTGTACCTTTTTATTTTGCAGATTCTTGACCAGAACTGTGAAGAATTTAGCAGTATCTTTAAGACTAAACATGTAATTAATTTTGTGGAATAAGCTCTAAAAAACATAATAAGTAAGATAACCACGGATTGGAACTTTTAACCAAATTTGACTTTAATTTGTTTTATCAACAGCAAAGAGGCTGAAAAAGCAAGTACTTCTAAGTCTCAATACAGCAGCCAATGAAGAGACTTTGTATTTAATCGAGAAGCGATTTCTTGAAGAATTCCAAAGATACCCAGAAAAGTTTTGATTACTACTTGATTGATGTGGATTGCAAACACTTCCAAAGTAAACATCAATATATGAAAGACAGAAAGAAAAGTTCCTGCTGTCATTGAAGAAGTGGGCAGTTCCTTGTCGTCTTATAAAAGAAGAAAAGAATATAAAGGAGTAATCTTTGTGCATTGCTTGTATGCAGTCAGAAGCAAGGATATTTCACGTCAAAATTATGCATGCTGATCACAAACTGCAGTTTATTTTGCTAGAAGACATCCTAATGCTAGAACAATTCTTGTCCACGGTTTAAAGCCAATAAAAGGGAAACAGACCTGTTACTATTTAACATCAATTTAAAACTTACCATGATGTATAAATGGACCATGTGTATCAGTTGACCCCCTCCCCCAAAAAATAGAAACCCAAAAGTATAATTAAAGTACTAATTATAAGTAAAGTAACATAGAATTCCACAAGATGTAAAAGTTACACAGACTTAACTATTTGGCTGGGTATATACCTGAATTGATTGAACAATTTTTTAAAGGAGTCTTTTTTCTTTATTGTGGATTATTTTGCAGATTTTCTTTATAGAGACAAGATGCGCAATACTATGTTACAATAGATACAAAAGTTTATGTTATTATTTTACAGAACTGTCAACAAAGACCGTAGCAAATCGCAGAATGAAATGAAGTATCTACCTACATTGTCAAATAAAAAAACACAAATTTTCAGACCTGTCTACCAAAAACTTTCAAAACCTTAAGTTTTTAGATTTTTCTAGATTTTAATTCTTAAGCTCTAAAAGAAAATTTCGTTTTGAAGACAGTCATTGCAATGATTGTTGCTTTAAGAATGCCTCTGCAAAAAGAAAAGGGAGAAGATTAAATCAAGCGAAATCTGGAGTTTTCCAGCGAATCAGGGTGTGTTTAAAGGTCCAACTTTTTTTCTGTCCCTGGCACTTTCTGTCCCGAATCGATGTCGGTACACTGGTGGCTGGTGTGTGCAGATAGCCTCGGTTTCAATACTGTCGAGTAATAATGGTGGCCAAGAGCAGTCAATGGCCAAAATCATCTCGCCTTATGTGTTGTTAGGCGAGCTATACAGTACATGGCCGAGGACAAAAAAGACGAACCTGGTTTGGTAAGTCCGCTATTTCCCTAGCTGAACTATATCATCGTATTTACATTAAGTTATAACTTATATGGAAAAACCTCATTATCTATCATTTGTCGTTTGTTTATCCTTATAATCGTTTGTTTTGTTTCTGTTGCTGATAGTCACGCAACTATTTTCTACAAATTTCAGTTGCTATTATTTCCTGAGCTATGAAGTTGTTTCACTATCAACTATCTAGTTTTAATGCAAATGGATATGGTAAATGTGAGTTTTTCCAATAATAATCCGGGAAGGTAAGACCCATTTTTCAGGCTCTTTCTTTACTTACTGGGCTGGGGCAGAAGTGAATGATGTGGGCTTTAGGTAAGGATAGATTTGGACCTCTATTTCCACTATTACAATTCCCAAATTTTAGGGCTTCTTCTTGAAGCACAAAACTACATATTAGCTTAACATACAAGACTTTTCATAAATTGTTATTAGTTCCAGTAGATTTAAATTTAAATTCAACTGCATGAAATTTAATGGTGAGTTTATAAACAACTAGTCAGTATACTATGATAATATACTATGATATTATAGCAAATTGATATATCAATGCCCAAAACGTAATGTAATGTAATTTATTCATTGCACAGATCCTAAGTATAATATAGGTTTTTCACTGGCAGTAAAATAAATAAATAATTAATAAAAAAGCCTATAAGTAAATATCACCAAATGTAAGTATAGTCCTTTATTCAATAAAAAAAGTTAGGCTAGAAAATGTGTACAAGTATCAAGATAAAAAATTACAATATGTATATATATATGACTATTGTGTTAACCATAGTCTACAACCATAGTCTAAAACTACAGTGATTTTAAGTTTGTTTAAATTAAAAAATGTTTTTGATTGCTTCACTCTTGATGGTAATTTGTTGAAGTCAGCAGTGGCTTGATACAATAATGTTCTATGATGGCTTGCTGTTGTCGACATAGGTACGTGCAAGTGGTGCTGTTGTCTTGTATTGTACTCATGAATTTGTGAGTTTATATGGAACGATTCAGAGAGATATTGGTGAGCTTGGTTGTTTAGACATTTGTACAGTCAACAGAGCCTATGAGTCTTTCATTGTTCCTTAAGCCTCTTCCACTGAAGTATGTTTAAAGCTGGTGTCACATGACCAAACTTACACATCCCAGTAAATACCTTTGCCGCAAAGTTTTGAATTGACTGAGCTTTATGTAGTGTTGTTTTTGACACATTGCCATAGACAATATCGCCATATTGTACACTTGAGAGTATACATACTTGCACAACCTTTGAAAAAGTTTCTCTTTTCATACAGTTTCTGATCTGTGTCATTTGTATTAGCTTCCCTGCACAAGATTTCTTTAGCTGAGAGATGTGGCTGTTCCATGACAGTGTTTGATCAATCTACATGCCAAGTATTTTAAACTCCTTTGCAGCTTCAACTATATTGTCCTGAATATCAATTTTTGAACATAATGGTGCAATTTTCACAAGTTGCTTATTTGAGCCAAATATGATAAACTGGATATGCTGATGACTTACAGCTATACTCGTCTTGCAAAGCTGAAAAGGTTGAAGAAATGCCCTCAATGTTGAAAGATGATATTTACTTGATACTTGAGTGGTTCTCTGCAAATAAGGTAAAATGTATATATTTGAGTCATCAGATGATAGTTTCTTGAGCGTTGCTGGTATCTCGTTTATGTACAGGTTGAATAATGTAGGTCCAAAGACAGATCCTTGGGGTACACCACAGGGAACCTTTGTTGTCGACTTTAACATATTGAAGTCTGTTTCGGAGGTAAATGTTGAACCAAAACATTGAGTGAGTGTCAAAACCATACCTCAGTAGTTTTTGAAGCATTAATAGGTGGTCAATGGTATCAAATGTTTGCTAAGATCCATCAGTATTGTGGGTGTGATAAGGCCTTTGTCCATATTACATAAAATGTTATCAGTTATGCTTATGAGGGCAGTTTGAGTTGAATGATTCTTGCAAAACCCAGAGTAAAATTTTATGAGAATATCATTATATTTCAGATAGTGGGCCACTTGTAAGTTTACAACCTTTTCCATCAGTTTGGAGAGAAGTGGTAACACAGACAGTGGACAATAATTTGCTATTGTAGTTTTAGCTCCAGCTTTACTAGAGTAATCAATAATGATTTCCCTATTGCATGGAACTGTGCTGATGCAATGCTCAGGTTTAGTATGGATGTAATGGATGAGGATACTATATCTGCCACAATTTTCAAAGATTTTATGTCAATGTTATCGGCACCAGTTGCTTTAAGATGGGATGTTCAGCATGAAATTTTTTACCCCAGCATATTTTACAGTTTTAAAAGAGAATGTTGATCTTATGTCCAAAGAAAAGGGGAAGCTCTGTTTAGTTGGCTGTAATTTATTTTGGGTCATCATACCAATTTCTGAGAAAAAAGTGTTCAGTTTATTTGCTTGATCTTTGTTCAACCACTCAGATGGAAGAGGGTTACTTTGCTTTTTTGTTGGAGCAAGTCGCTTAATGCAGGTCCACATCTGTTTAGGGTTGTTTTTACATTTAGTTAGTGTCTTTTGAAAGAAGGAGTCTTTTGCATCTCTCACAGCCTTGATAACGCTCTTTTTCTCCACTTGGTATTGCTTCCATACTATTCAGATTCGGTAGCAATTGCTTTCTTCCTGGTATTGTCTCTGTTGTTGATTAGAGTCTGTAGTTCGTGTGTAAACCAGAGCTTTGGTTTTGATCTAATTTTTATTTTCCTCAAAAGGGCATGCTTATTTAATGTGTTTGTGTAAAGCTCATTCCATTTACTAACTGCCTCATTTATGTCATTTGTTTTGAGACAATCTTCAATGGTAGCTGTGAGACATTTAAGCTCTGAACTTTTCAGATACAAGGTTCTTGTAAGATCTCACTGTTTTGTAATGGGTGCTTGGCTTGGGACACTTTCTCTGCGGTATGCAGTATACCAATGAATGATCACTTATAGAAGAGTGGCATACTCCTGATTTGATTGTGTTCAGGGTGGGTGTCTTAATAACCAAATCAAGCAAGGTTTGTGTTTCTGCAGTTACCCTTGTGGCCTCAGAGATTACTTAACTAAAGTGGTTATGTTATCTCAATAAGCTCTTTATTAGGGCTCTCTTGTGGCTTCAAGAAATTACAATTAAAATCCCCAACCAACAAGATCTCTTGGTTAGTTGATATGACTTCAAGTAAGGTATTTTCAAGATCAGCCTTGCAAATATACCCTTACAAATGCAAACAGAGAAACAAATGTCAATTGCATGGAAGGATCTGGTAAGAATAGTTATCTCAATAGGTGATTTAAACAATGTTATAGCTTCCTAATCAATATGATGTTTCCCTAATTTGATTGATTTCAGTATAATCAATAAATAAACACATAGAATGTATTCAAAATGGTGCGAATGACAGAATAGGTTAAGTATATTGATTGACCTTGTTCAGTAAGTAGATTTCCAGTTTCATTTTGCAGGACATTTTTGATGTGTCTATCAAAAATCTGATGTCTGAGTTTCATGTGTAATGTATCCAGAGATTGGCACTTTGATATTGAACTGATTTTTCTATTGTCAAGGATTGGCTTTGTTTGCTTCTACCCATTCCCGAAAATACCATATCAACTTTGGCAAAACTTCAACAAAGCCACCTTTTATGTTTTCTGTCACTTCCAGCCATTTTTCAATTATACTGGAAAACATATTTTAATTTTTTCAGATATCTTTGGACCTACCAAGTCTCACACATTCTGCGTGAGACATGCATTTTGGTCCTTTCTCACACTCACATGCATCAAAAGAGAATTCTCACGCATTTTGCAACAAACATCTTGGTTTCTTTAAATTTTTCAATTTGTATTCAAAATCCTAGTGAAATCCCTCTTTCCTAGCAAGGCATGTTAGAGTTTCACTATAGCGGATTGCAATCAGAGTTGGGCAGAGAGGAGTACCGTTATTTTGAGGGTGATATTTGGGGTAGCAGTTACACTGTGATGTTACGCATGCTCGTACGCCTGCATTCCTTCCATTCATTTCATTCATTTCTGGTCCACAGTGCTATGCACTTTCGCAGTCATTTGCGCAAGTACACCAGATATGGTTATCTCATGATTATGTACTCTTATTAATTCTTCCTCAATAAAAACTAAATGAAGTGGCAAAAAACAAAGCCCCCTCAAAATAAACATAAGTTTTAAAGATTTACCATGATACTGCAGTAATACTATTATGCTTTCCTCTTGAATAACCCCAGCCCTTTTCATATAGAGTATTTAATAAACCACCTCCCCCTCTCCAATAAACCCTGTACTATGTTGTCTGTTTTCAGTAAAACAGCCAATTTCATTAAAACATATTTGCAAAGGTTTTTGCGTTAGAGATCTACATGTAGTTTCAAAGGTCTTTTGTACAGTTCCTGTAATTTTATTTTTTCCCTACACAGGAAGGCAGAGCTAGCAAAGAGATAGAGGAATGCAAAGTTTGGATTGGAAATCTTGATAAAAATTTGACAGAGTAAGGAGTTTTTCATGCTAAAATTTGTTATCCATTTTTTAGCAGGTTTTAAATTTCAGTAAGCAAGGATCTTGCCTTTGTCCTTGAGAGATTTGTCTAGATTTGCCTACAAATGATAATGTGGTTTAAATATAATCTCTGATTTGCATGAAAAGCCATATTTGCGACTACAACTTTTAGAATGTGAAAAATCAAAGATTAACAAAATAATTATATAATTATATTTAGTTCAAATGTTCTTTGTGTCAAATAACTTCTAGCAGGTACCTTTTATGTCGTCTTTTATTGTAGTCCTTGCACAGTCTAAGTCAGGAAGTTAAGGGAGGGGCTTTATCCTATATTAAAGCAATCAGAATTTTTTGAAAAATGTTTTTTCTGCAAAGGCAAAAGACAAACAATTTTCAAGATTTATAAATTTTTGTGATGAGGAATCAAGATTCGAAAATCTTAATACAGTTGATTGGAGTGAATTGATAGTCACAAGGAGAGCCCAAGATTTTCCAAAAATTGTACTTAAAATAAAAAAATAGAAAAAGTCCTTTTCTCTCTTGCATATTAAGCCCCCCCCCTTCCTCACAAAAGAAAATTTTAGCTACCCTGCCAGTGCCAATGATTTGCTCTGCAGTCCCTGGGTGATTGTTCCTAATCCTATACCAATCAATATTTGTCTATATTACTTAAATTTATTTATAATACCATGTTTTAAAAGTTCAATAACATTTATGGCGTTAAGTCGTGATAAAAGGAGGAGGGTATACCTGAATGTACTCAAATCCACTGAGCTGTTATTTTCTGCTTTAATGCTATTGGTTGACCTTCAACTGGTTGCATAAACTCACCTTGTAATGATTAACACAACAGTTTCCATCGATAGCAAGTTGTCAACAATGGAGACCGATATCACATGAAACTGCAGCGATCAGGCCAAAACCAAATGACCCCCTATAGAGAAGGCCCATTTACCATGACTCAAGCCTTCAACTATATTAGGAAACTTAACGACCTCTTTAACTAGCTTGTTGAGCACGTAACTCAACCACCACTTTCCTAGTTAGCAAGAAAATCATGATTTTTCACTTTCACTCCACAATCAATGTATTAGTACGATGGAAAATTGATCACATATGATATATTACCACTTTGTTTTTACTTGATCTTTTAGCTGTTGGCTCTTTTAACTGTTTGGTAACTTTTAGCTGCATTCTTTTACCACTGCCTAATACCTTACTACAGTCCAAATTGGCAAGTTTAAATTTGTCTTACAGCAGGCCCCTCTTGAATTTGCTGGCTATAGCTCACACAAATCCCTTGCGAATGTTTTGTTTAATGAAAGTTATAAGAAGAAATTTTGATCGTGTATGTGTTTTTAACAGGGGTGTCGCGACCGAGCGGGGGGTGTGAGGGGGGTGTTCCACAAAGGTATTTCAGAGACCTCCGTGGCTTAAAATTAATAAAGGATCGAGCAAAGAAAGTTGCTCCGTTGGTTAAATATGATATTCTTGATATGGATGAAGGTAAACAAGCTAATGATTTGAAGATTTGAAGATTTCTTGTTGGCACTAAATCCAAAAATCCAGGCACTCTTTAGGTGAAATTGTACCGTGTGTTCATTTCCCCTAAAGTTTCTCGGTAAAAGCGTCAACTACAATTCACAATGAGCTCCAGATTTTTTTAACATTCAAAAAGCATGCTACGATGGAAATAGGGATCTGAATTTACAACCAGTGCTGCTTGTTTCCTAGCTTTAACAGTAACTGACAACAATCATATTTTTCAAGACCATGGCGAAATTGTATCAGCTGTTTTATCTGCTGTTCAATTTGTTTGCATAAATAAAAAAAATTTCAATAGGATTAGAAGGACTGCTTTAGTAAAATTTGCTTAAAAATGTGCATTTTCCAGGCAACTGGAAGCATCAAATTTCGAAAATTCTCTACTCCTTCGGCGGCAACCAGGTGCTGCCTTGCCACAGAGTTAGATTGAAAAAATGTATTGCAGAGGTTTGTGACAGCAACTAAAGAATTCCATGTAATTATTTTTTAATCAGGTAAATTGGTAGTCCACACCCCTTCCTAAAAAGGCTTGCCACGCGACGGCCCTGGTTTTTAATAATGGTTTAACACTTTAAAGGTACCAAGTTACCTGAATATAATTTGGCATGCAACACACGGGATCTCATAAAATCATTGGCCCAAAAAGCCAGAGACCAAAAAAAATATTGTTTTTTCTAGTTTTTCAAATTACGACTTGTTAAATCACATAGGGTAATAAACAGTTACCACAAAGTATCATTTTGATATGGATAAGTTTATAATAGAATATGAAAACGACAATTTCTATGTGGGCTATTCCACCCATGCAGCTGGTGTCTCATGCATAGGGTATTTTTGCCCGTGATAACTTTACATTAAAAGGAAGCCTGTCTAATGGTTCTGTTGAATCAAGTTAAAATATTAGCACATATGTTATATTTGCTTCAACTCCTCATAACCTTGAGTTTAAGAATATTTTGTATAGGTGTCAATTAAATATCTTGCTCCGTGATAACAAAGACGTCCAGGTCTTAATACAATATTTGAATTTTCAATTTTTATTCCCAGATTCCAGCTCCTACAGATTGTGAAAAAGTATGGTGGCATAAAAAGCTTCAATTTTATGTTCCATATGAATGGACCTTTTAAGGGTGAACCAAGAGGCTATTGCTTTGTCGAGTATGAGACAAAAGAGGTATGTTTGTATTAACAGGTGAAATTCCTTTACTTTATCCAGCGATGAATTTTGTTTTTTCTTTGACATGCATAAGAGACTTAAGTACAGGTAATAAATCTCTGTTGTATTGCTAATCAGCATATTTGAGCGATGAGGAAAGGTGATATACGATAGACTTGCTGTTCAACTTTTTTCTGAATAAGAGGCATGCTGGTTGATGTAGAAAGATGATCGCAATTTCAGGCAAGGTATACGCTAGACTAACTCTATGAGCCTCTGTTTCGCTACTGCCTCACTTGACGGACGCTACAACAGATGAGCGTCCTGTTGTAGCGTTCGTCCAAAGCATCTTTTGCCACATGATATGCTATATGCACCTGATAAACCACCTGATACGCCATATTAACAACTTTCTTTATACTCGCCTCTATGCCTGAAAACGTATCAAGGCTTATATTAAGTATCTGGCCTTGATCTTGTTTTGATAAATTTTTACCTAGATTTTTTTCTTGATATCGTTTATTGAAAATGAAACAGGAAATCAATGCCTGGCGTCTTAGGAATTTGTGACGTGTCAAGTGTTTTGATGTGTGAAGTATCGACTGATAAACAGGCAAAATCTGTGCCTGTAACATTATCATTTTACAGTGAAGCAACTGAAAGGTATTATAATGCTCGTTTATTCCTGGAGCCTGGATTGTGGAGAAGCGAGAGGGCTGTAAAATGAAGGAGCCCTAGTTGTACTATTACTATCATTCAATTTAAGGTGTACTTGCTTTGACGAAATTCCGCGGACAATGTTGTAAAAACATCATCTTTTCATCTCCGATCATCAAGAATTTGTAATGAGAAAAGCAAACTTTTTTGGCTTTTATCCAATCTATATCTGTCTTTTGCTTGATTTGTCATGATTTGGTATTCATTTGTTGAATGGTTTGTTTGTACTTCAGTTTGACACATTTAATTTGAGCTGTTACATCTTATGTCATTGTAGACAATTGCCCACCATCGTCTACTATAGGCAAATACTAGCAAGACTGAAAACCTCTTGCAGCCCATCATTTGGGAAAAATGAACTTAAAATAATATTAATAGATATAATATTTTTCTTCATTCATTTTTCCAGAACGCATCAAAGGCTATTGAAAAATTGAATGGCAAGCAGGTGTTATCTAAGAGGATCACGGTTGATTTCGCTATAAAACAGAGTCTTCCTGATGAAAATGTTAGTTCCACTTGTCCACTTATACTTTAATAAACAATAAACCTTAATAATAGACGTAGGAACAAAGGACACAAGGGGCATATGCATCTCTTTTCAAAAACAGATGCAATGGGCCTATTTGTCTAGATGTGCCCTCCCCCACTCTTAAAATATTCCCTACGTCAATGCCTCTATGTGTCTTATGTCTCAATGTAAAGTTGTGAAAAAGGGTTAATGTACCTGTGTTAATGTAAACACCTATACTTCTTTTTAAAACTCCCTGTCCTAGCTTCTATATATTCACCGTGCTTTCTTGAACACAGTTTTTATGGAAACCCTCTTTTTATGGAAATGCTTCCAACAAGCTTAATACTGTAGCCACGTTAGGATCAATTTTAGTATGTGCTACTTTAGGTGTCGCAGTGGTAGCAAATAATTTGGGCAAACGCCTGTTTGATAAATCGCGGGCATATGTCTGAAACTTTTGTCTAGCTTTTTCTTCTGCTATTGTGAATCGTAACGCTTTAAGCTGTAACCGAGAGCTTCATGCCAAAGTCGATTACGACTGTGTTGATTCGTCGTAAAAATTAACCTGGTAGCAGAACTGTCCCTTCTGATCATCGTACTGACCAACTTTTGTTTTCCGGTGCACTGCCTGCTCTATTAAGTGGTTTTTTTTAGATATCTTCTCTGACCTTACATCTCGCTGTTTTCGAGTATTCTTAGAGGCAATCAATTGATACCAGAGTCTTTATATTGCAGGTAATAGCCGCAAGAAATGAGACAAGGAATGACGAACAAGCTGATACAAAGGTTTCAAGGTTGCTCATTAATTTTTCCTAACCAAATATAGCAAAATGATCAGAAATTTGATTCTTGGCTGACTGATTGTAAGCCGACATTTTGATTTAAGTTTTTCTTGAGACCATCAGAAAAGGCAAACAATAACATCAACTCAGATGAACCAATTAAAAGGACAAACACCCCTCGTTAAATTATCTCTGATTCAATTTAATTATAATCATTGTTTTATCTATATAACTTAAGATATAGTTTTCAGATATAAGAAGTAGGCCGAAAACTTCTCCCTCCGATTAGCATATAATAGATATCAGTTGTGAGGCTACTTTCCCGCATCATTGAGTAAGTTGGGACATTGGTGCATCGGCTAAGCTCACCAAAAACCTCTTATAGGCTTAAAAATGAAATAGCACAAAACCCAATTGTTTGTGTATTTTATGTAGGGAATTGACTAGAAAACACCAAGAACTCGAAAAGTCCCTTCCATTCAATTGAATAATATTCAGCTGTAAAGGTGTATTCTCTACCCATCCTGAAATTCTCGTTGGCGCTGTGCGATTCCGGTCTTTAATATGTGCTTCAAACTGAATAGAAAGGGGTTTTATCATGTATCCTAACGTTTGGAACATTGACAGAAATCACGTCATAGCTAATTAAAAGTATAAGACATTGGTGACTGTTTGAAAGGCCAGAACAAGACAATTTATACTAGGAATTTATCTAAGCTGGGTATGTGGCTTCATGACGGAAATAGATTAATTGCAATGTAATTTGACAGTAAAAGGATAGGGAAAGACTCACCGACGCTGAAATTCTGTGGGAGATGGTGGACAATGGTCAGTGGTTTTTGTAGTTAACTTGGGTTGAGGGCCTTTTTAAAATACTAACTAGGGGGACAATTGCCTCTGCAGCCCCGGTGACTTTCAATTGTCTTAAACGATAGGCTCTTGTCCTCCCCTTTGTATAAACAAAGGTTTTCCCCGCAGCTGATTTCCCTTGAAATAGGCCATGTGTGGATTGATTTATTTGACAGAGTATAACTAATTACATTTTTGTGTTTTTCTATAGGCAAAAGAAGATCCAGGCGATAGAGGAAAAGCTTTTATTGATGGAAAAGGGTAAAGAAACTGAATTAAAAAGTTCATTAGGGAGATACAGGACAGAAAAACAATTTGCAAACAGAAGGACGAACCCTTATACTCGTCATCGTAAGAAACTGACTAGAAGATAACAAAGGATCAATGATTGCGATTTACTCTGGGACAAAGATAATGATCAAATTTGACAGGAACTTTTTTTGGTCAGCCTGCGTAATGAAAATGAGCTTTCATGGGTATTTTAAACCATTTAGCTGTTAAATTAAAAATGACATATGCTAAAATGTACCAAGCCACCCAACGATATAATTTTCGCAATGTCTATGAGCGTCCATGAATTTCTGAAAAGATTCAAAGATTCCCAAAAGAACAGAATATGGAAGAATTTCCAGTGCTGTTGAAACTCTGTGAAACGCTATGCTCATTTTGAAAGATTTTTTCGTTGTGTCCAAATTGGACATGCAAAAGTAATTAAACAACATATCTTAAGAATTCTTCTTTATTTTGTCTGATTACATTGTATTGCTTATTTTTAAAGCCTACGGCATGGCTGTTCCCATCTTTTATCATGTTTATTTCTTCTCAAGGTTTTTCATATGCAAGGTAGTACCCGTGATAAGATGCTAACAAAATCTGCAATTCTTTCATAATTTCCAAAATAAATCAATTGATAGTTTTAATAATTGAAGATGACTCTAATGTTAACGGATGGTGGAATTGTCTGAAAATTTTATTTTTTCACTTCGTCTGTTGATTCTTAGGTATTGCAGACATTGTAATCTGATAGCTGCAAACCACAATTTTGACGTTTTCCTTATTTTGGCGCATTTTTCAATTAAACAGACAACTTGGAAATGTCTGTTATGTGACATTTTTCGGTGTGGGCTCTAGATCTGTACAACCAAAGTAGCTTGCTGATTAAATTCATAAAAACTAGTATTTAAATGACATGGCTTATCTCAATATACCTTTTGCAAGATAACGCGACTGCTAATAGGCGCCTGTCGAGAATTTCAAGGTTGATAAACTGTTGCATTAGAGACAACCGTAAGTGGGAGTCATAACAATGTTATTTTGGTTGTCCCTGATTGTATCAAGTAAGAGGCAGTCTGTCCACCATTGTTCTCAGAATTCTTTTTATGGCCACGATATTCATGCAACCTTGGTTTAATGCACAAATAACAAATCAGAATGAAGAATCACGATAGCGTACTCTCCACGAGCGAACTAATGTGAATTTTGTTTCGATGTCAAACGTGTAAGTCAGTTTGGATGATATCAAGATTGCGGAGTTCACACACAATAACTTAGGTTGGATGTTAAAAAGAGAGAAGCCCGGAAAATAGCCAAGACTGTAGGCTTACATCAATTTCAAATTTTCTACTTAAACGTTTTTGTTCCAAAACCAGGCCAAATATACTCTAATTAAGCCATATAACCGTCTTTATCCTCTATACCCTCTTTTCCAGCTTGATTTTTACTCTAAAAGAGCAGCTTTACTGGATAAGGTTTTTCGTGAAAAACGCGAGGCTATAGGCTTACCAAAATTTCTGATTTTTGACCAAAAATGTTTTCTTTCAAAACTTTGCCAGATATATTCTAAACAAGCTATATAACCATCTGAATCCGCTCTACACTCTTTTGCAGCTTGATATCTGCTCTAAAATAGCAGCTTTACTGGATAAGGTTGTTTGTGAAGAAAGCAAGGCTATAGGCTTACCAAGATTTCTGATTTTTGACCAAAAATGTTTTCTTTCAAAACTTTGCCAAATCTACTCTAAACAAGCGATATAACCATCTGAATCCGCTCTACACTCTTTTGCAGCTTGATATCTGCTCTAAAACAGCAGATTTACTGGATAAGGTTGTTTGTGTAGAAAGCAAGGCTATAGGCTTACCAAGATTTCTGATTTTTGACCAAAAATGTTTTCTTTCAAAACTTTGCCAAATCTACTCTAAACAAGCGATATAACCATCTGAATCCGCTCTACACTCTTTTGCAGCTTGATATCTGCTCTAAAACAGCAGATTTACTGGATAAGGTTGTTTGTGTAGAAAGCAAGGCTATAGGCTTACCAAGATTTCTGATTTTTGACCAAAAATGTTTTCTTTCAAAACTTTGCCAAATCTACTCTAAACAAGCGATATAACCATCTGAATCCGCTCTACACTCTTTTGCAGCTTGATATCTGCTCTAAAACAGCAGATTTACTGGATAAGGTTGTTTGTGTAGAAAGCAAGGCTATAGGCTTACCAAGATTTCTGATTTTTGACCAAAAATGTTTTCTTTCAAAACTTTGCCAAATCTACTCTAAACAAGCGATATAACCATCTGAATCCGCTCTACACTCTTTTGCAGCTTGATATCTGCTCTAAAACAGCAGATTTACTGGATAAGGTTGTTTGTGTAGAAAGCAAGGCTATAGGCTTACCAAGATTTCTGATTTTTGACCAAAAATGTTTTCTTTCAAAACTTTGCCAAATCTACTCTAAACAAGCGATATAACCATCTGAATCCGCTCCACACTCTTTTGCAGCTTGACTTTTGCTCTGAAACAGGAGCTTTACTGGATAAGGTTTTTCGTGAAAAAAGCAAGGCTATAGGCTTACCAAAATTTCTGATTTTTGAACAACAATTTTTTGCTTCAAAACTTTGCCAAAGATACTCTAGACAATCTATATAACCATCTGAATCCGCTCTACACTATTTTGCAGCTTGATATTTGCTCTAAAACAGCAGCTTTACTGGATAAAGTTTTTCGTGAAAAAAGCAAGGCTATAGGCTTACCAAAACTTCTGATTTTTGACCAAAAATGTTTTCTTTCAAAACTTTGCCAAAGATACTCTAGACAATCTATATTACCATCTGAATCCGTTCTACACTCTTTTGCAGCTTGATATCTGCTCTAAAACAGCAGCTTTACTGGATAAAGTTTTTCGTGAAAAAAGCAAGGCTATAGGCTTACCAAAATTTCTGATTTTTCACCAAAAATGTTTCCTTTCAAAACTTCGCCAAATATAGTCTAAACAAGCTATATAACCATCTGAATCCGCACTACACTCTTTTGCAGCTTGATTTCTGCTCTAAAATAGCAGCTTTACTGGATAAGGTTTTTCGTGAAAAAAGCAAGGCTATAGGCTTACCAAAATTTCTGATTTTTGACCAAAAATGATTCCTTTCAAAACTTTGCCAAATATACTCTAAGCAAGCTATATATCCATCTAAATCCGCTCTAAACTCTTTTGCAGCTTGATTTCTGCTCTAAAATAACAGCTTTTATATATAAAGGTTTTTCGTGAAAAAAGCAAGGCTATAGGCTTACCAAAATTTCTGATTTTTCACCAAAAATGTTTCCTTTCAAAACTTCGCCAAATATAGTCTAAACAAGCTATATAACCATCTGAATCCGCACTACACTCTTTTGCAGCTTGATTTCTGCTCTAAAATAGCAGCTTTACTGGATAAGGTTTTTCGTGAAAAAAGCAAGGCTATAGGCTTACCAAAATTTCTGATTTTTGACCAAAAATGATTCCTTTCAAAACTTTGCCAAATATACTCTAAGCAAGCTATATATCCATCTAAATCCGCTCTAAACTCTTTTGCAGCTTGATTTCTGCTCTAAAATAACAGCTTTTATATATAAAGGTTTTTCGTGAAAAAAGCAAGGCTATAGGCTTACCAAAATTTCTGATTTTTCACCAAAAATGTTTCCTTTCAAAACTTCGCCAAATATAGTCTAAACAAGCTATAAAACCATCTGAATCCGCACTACACTCTTTTGCAGCTTGATTTCTGCTATAAAACAGGAGCTCTACTGGATAAGGTTTTTTGTGAAAAAAGCAAGGCTATAGGCTTACCAAGATTTCTGATTTTTGACCAAAAATGTTTTCTTTCAAAACTTTGCCAAATCTACTCTAAACAAGCTTTATAACCATCTCAATCCGTTCTAAACTCTTTTGCAGCTTGATTTCTGCTCTAAGACAGCAGCTTTACTGGATAAGGTTTTTCGTAAAAAAGCAAGGCTATAGGCTTACCAAAATTTATGATTTTTGACCAAAAATGTTTTCTTTCGAAACTTTGCCAAATATACTCTAAACAAGCTAAATAACCATCTGAATCCGCTCTACACTCTTTTGCAGCTTGGTTTCTGCTCTAAAATAGCAGCTTTACTGGATAAGGTTTTTCGTGAAAAAAGCAAGGCTATAGGCTTACCAAAATTTCTGATTTTTGACCAAAAATGTTTTCTTTCGAAACTTTGCCAAATATATTCTAAACAAGCTAAATAACCATCTGAATCCGCTCTACACTCTTTTGCAGCTTGGTTTCTGCTCTAAAATAGCAGCTTTACTGGATAAGGTTTTTCGTGAAAAAAGCAAGGCTATAGGCTTACCACAATTTCTGATTTTTGACCAAAAATGTTTTCTTTCGAAACTTTGCCAAATATATTCTAAACAAGCTAAATAACCATCTGAATCCGCACTACACTCTTTTGCAGCTTGGTTTCTGCTCTAAAATAGCAGCTTTACTGGATAAGGTTTTTCGTGAAAAAAGCAAGGCTATAGGCTTACCAAAATTTCTGATTTTTGACCAAAAATGTTTTCTTTCGAAACTTTGCCAAATATATTCTAAACAAGCTAAATAACCATCTGAATCCGCTCTACACTCTTTTGCAGCTTGGTTTCTGCTCTAAAATAGCAGCTTTACTGGATAAGGTTTTTCGTGAAAAAAGCAAGGCTATAGGCTTACCACAATTTCTGATTTTTGACCAAAAATGTTTTCTTTCGAAACTTTGCCAAATATACTCTAAACAAGCTAAATAACCATCTGAATCCGCTCTACACTCTTTTGCAGCTTGGTTTCTGCTCTAAAATAGCAGCTTTACTGGATAAGGTTTTTCGTGAAAAAAGCAAGGCTATAGGCTTACCAAAATTTCTGATTTTTGACCAAAAATGTTTTCTTTCGAAACTTTGCCAAATATATTCTAAACAAGCTAAATAACCATCTGAATCCGCTCTACACTCTTTTGCAGCTTGGTTTCTGCTCTAAAATAGCAGCTTTACTGGATAAAGTTTTTCGTGAAAAAAGCAAGGCTATAGGCTTACCACAATTTCTGATTTTTGACCAAAAATGTTTTCTTTCGAAACTTTGCCAAATATACTCTAAACAAGCTATATAACCATCTGAATCCGCTCTACACTCTTTTGGAGCTTGATTTCTGCTCTAAAATAGCAGCTTTACTGGATAAGGTTTTTCGTAAAAAAGCAAGGCTATAGGATTACCAAAGTTCCTGATTTTTGACCAAAAATGTTTTCTTTCAAAACTTTGTCAAATATACTCTAAACAAGCTATATAACCATCTGAATCCGCTCTACACTCTTTTGGAGCTTGATTTCTGCTCTAAAATAGCAGCTTTACTGGATAAGGTTTTTCGTAAAAAAGCAAGGCTATAGGATTACCAAAGTTCCTGATTTTTGACCAAAAATGTTTTCTTTCAAAACTTTGTCAAATATACTCTAAACAAGCTATATAACCATCTGAATCCGCTCTACACTCTTTTGAAGCTTGATTTCTGCTCTAAAATAGCAGCTTTACTGGATAAGGTTTTTCGTAAAAAAGCAAGGCTATAGGATTACCAAAGTTCCTGATTTTTGACCAAAAATGTTTTCTTTCAAAACTTTGTCAAATATACTCTAAACAAGCTAAATAACCATCTGAATCCGCTCTACA